ATGGACCAGTTATATGCATAAATACAGACTGAGGAATGACTGGGCTAGGGCTGCAGCACTGCAGGAAAGGACCTGGGGGGTTCACTAAGCCGAACGTGAGACAATGGTGTGTTCTTATCACAAAAAAAAAGCCAACAGCTTATGGGGCTATTATTATTATTATTATTATTAACACTTGTGTGACTTGCAAGTTAAAGATAGTGATCCTTCCACTCTCTTTGGCACCGATGAGACCTCGCTGATAGTACTGTGCCCAATTTTGGACATGTCGCTTCAAGGAAAATATGGACAAATTAGAAAAAGTTCATAGGAAAGTGGCGAAAATAATTAGAAGTCTGGGAAGCATAATTTACAATTTAAGCTAAAAAAACTAGGATTATTTTGGCTGGAGAATAAAAGTGTGCGTGTGTGGTGGGGGGGGGCGCATTACAGAATTTGATAGCAATCTTCAAATACCTGAAGTGTGGTTATTCAGAGAATGTGATAAGCTATTCTCCGTGGCTGCAGGGAACAGGACAAGGATGACTGTAAACTGTGACAAGGGAAATTTAGTTTGGAAAGTAGGAACAACTTCTCACTATGAGGGCGGTTAAGAATCACAGGCTGTGGAATCTCTCTCCTTGGAAGTGTATAAGAGCAGGTCAAATACTTGGCTGGGATGGTTTAGACAGGGATGATCCTGCCTTGAACAGGACTTGGGAGTTGGGCTACATGTGACCCCTTAAGGTCCCTTCCAGTCCCAGTGGGCACGTTTACACGTGTGCATTTACTGCGCAGTAACCAAAATTGTGGTGCAGTATGGGCACACGTCTACGCGTGCATGCCTGTACTGCGCAGTAAATATGATGACTTACGCTGACTTGAGCATAAATTTGATACCTGCATCATGCATCATTGAGGTATCAAATTTACGCCAGATTAGTTACTACGCAGTAATGCTGTGTGTGGGGCCTGATTTGGGACTAACTATAGTCCCAAGTGAGGCCACACACAGCATCAATGTGTTTTAATGCCTGCACACGTAGACACCAGCCTATTCCCACTTACTGCACCGTAATTTACTGCGCAGTAAATTGAAACCGGCATAAATGCCCGTGTAGACACGCCCAGTGTCTCTTATTTTAGAATCCTCCTTCCTTGGAGCAGCACCATCAAAGGACTTTACTTTGACTCTACCTATTGCTGAGAAATCCTAGTTTGCCTAGACATGGGTAGGAAAGTAATGATCTTGAGCAAGAGCTTCTAAACCTCATGGCCTTGTTAGCCAGGCTTACCACTATGTAGTAAGTGGTATGTTAGACTGTTAACATAAACTGAGGGATTATCTATTCTTCCTTTTAAAGCTGTGTAAAAGAACTGTGGAGCTACTACAATGTGGTATCTAGTATTTTCAGGGTAAGAGAGTTCTTGCAACAGTTTTACCAATTTATGCCAATGTCTCACAATATCTGACTGATGGCTACTCCACAGTGGGATAGAGAGCTGAAAGATGAAGCATAGAGAACCGTATTTCATAAAGTACCCTGTTTTCCACTCTATAAACAAGACTCTTTCTGGGCACAGTCATGTGCATGTTCTACAAAATCCAAGAGGGGGAATATAAACAGCAGAACAGATGCCTTGTCTACATCAGAAAAGTACACAGGTTTAACTAAATTAAGTTATAAATCAGTCTATTTAAACTGATGCAAATTCCTAATGCCTCCAACTCGAACTGATTTAACCTTTGCTTATATCATTTTAGTTTAAGTTGGTAATTTATCAAACTAAATTGGCAGGATAAATAGCTTAAGAGGGTTTACACTGTGGGATTACATATAATTAACTACCTACATTTTGAAACTGGTTTAGTTAGGTCAGCGCAGGTTCTCTCATATAGACAAGGCCAAACATAAGAACAAGATAGTGAAGTAGATTAATACTAAGACTTGTTTTCCACCTTCAAGGAGCTACAAATCAAAATTTACTATCTTTGCAACTGGAAGTTAAACAGAATTCGACATTATTTATGGCAAAGGCTGTAAGTAATGTTAAAATAACACTTCGCTACCTGAACTTAAAAAAGCTCCACTTTCTACTTCTGTTTCTTTTCCACTTTCTATTTCTGCCAAAATATTCCTGAATCACACACTTTTACTTTAATTAATATTAATATAAATTAATATAAAGTTACTTGAGCCAGTGGGCTGTGCACTTCGTACCAGAATATAAAAAATACTATATATAATGTATAAAGCCAGTGTAAATATATTTGGTAATGAAGTCAGATTCTGTTAGAACATTTTCAAGTGAATTAGATAATTCTGTCAAACTATTTAAATGTCTTAGCAAACCATTTGGGAAAATTGAGTTCTGCAGTTGGTATTGACTTTGGCAAAGGATGGTATAACATAGGTTTTTTTAAAGGTCTTTAAATCAAACTCCACATCTTCTGTCAAACTTGAGTAGACTATTTGTACTCTGCCTCGTGTAGTTTTTGGCATCTTACATATTTGATGACTCAATAATTACACTTTTTGATAGTAATCATTTTGGGCCATTCCAAAGACTTAAACTCTGGAATCCAATCTTGTCATCGCATTGATTCACAGTATAGAAATTCTTTACATGTACTTCAACATGGATGCTGAGAAAACTGGTGAATGAGGGAAAGCGTTATACAGCTGCCAGAGGTTTCAAGCAATTCATATAAAGAAAGATAGTTGAAGATGTTTATTTAGTTTGTACTGCAGGCATTTTTATTGGAATAAAGGGGCAGTATTATTAACTGAAAAAAGCAGCAGAATTCGGAAGCTCCAGGCATGAGATCAGGGCTGTCCAACTTCTAAGTGGCCGGGAGCTGAATGCCCTGCAGCCTGCACCTGGGGGCTGGGGGGCAAAGCGGGCAGTATGCTCGCGGGCCATACCAGGGCAAGACGTGGGCTCCCCGGCCTACGTGCCACATGGACAACCCTCCCACCTCCCTGCACCGTGCAGGAGGCCTTCTGCCTGCTGTACTGTGCACCCATGTGTCGTCCATCCCCTCCCTCCCACCCCACTGGATCGTGTGCTCATCCCCGGGCCATACTGCACTGCTCTGCCCCACCCCTGGTCCAGAACTGGAGGGGCCACAACTTCACCCCTTGCAGACTGCATGTGGCCCGTGGCCACCAATTGGACAGCCCAGCATTCGATTATAAAGTGTTCTTGTTGATTTAAATTGATAACAACCTCGCACAAAACCATAAGCAATGGCATGATACAACTGTGGGTTCAGCTGAGATTTTTTCCCCTCTTTGCCATTTCAATAGCATGTATGCTCTTTATCTCAGCATGAATTAGTAATTAAACTGTAACCGTATAGAAACATGGCAAATGTGACTTACAGAATAGCTAGGGCAATGCCTAAAGTAACAAGTTTTATTTACTTTTTTGATCATAAAAGTTATTTGAAATGCTGAAAATGTCCCAGTCACTATGTCATGAAACTGGATGCCCGACTTGAACATAAACAAAGAATACTTTCTCGTCTCCGGTTCCCGATGTTTGGCTCATACTTGGAACCCTGTTATTGTCTCAGCCTTATATTACGCCATAAGAAATTAACTGTAGCGTTTCTGTAACTGCCTCTGCAATGCTTATACATATCAAGTCTTTGGGAAACAATAAATCAGCACACTCTACTCACATATTCAGCAAAAATTGAAAAGGATTGAAAATGAGTCCAACGTAAAACTTAGGCTGTGACCAAAACAAGTGAAAAGTCATTGGCTCCTGGTAGTCATTAAGCAATCAAAACTTATGTAGCGGATTCAACTTAGAAACTAAATTTGCCCTGCCTATTTCTTTTTACTCAAAGGAAGCTGACTTGCTCACACCAGAGAAGCATCACTGAGAGTAAATCTATTTGCACCAGAATACTGATTTACAGAACCTGACATTGAAAAACTGCTATCCTACTAGTCCAGCCTTAGCCTTTTAAATTATTTTTTGATAATTATTAAATTATTATTAGATCCAAATGTTGCAATGTTACAAGTGTTATGATCCTTGAAAACAAACCTCAAATCCACCCGTGTGGCTGCAGGTCAAATGTTTCACCCGATCTTCCTTTGCTCTGCGGATGCTGTTTTGCCATTGGGATTTTTGGCACTGAATTCACACAGGGTCTAGTCCTAGTGTCAACACGCACAGAGCGAGTAATTGGACAGTGCATTGGGGACTTACATGGGGGGGAGTGGAAGACAAGGATCCTGCCCCTCTGCGGTGGCAGGCTCCTATTTCACCAGTTAAAATAGATCCTGTGGATCTTCTTCATCATGGATTTACTGGCCCCATTATTACTGTTTGCTTCTACTTCTTTCTACAGGTACAGTGAGATAATGCTCCCTGACAGAAAAAAAAATTATATATTTGACAGGCTTGTTTCAATGTACACAGGCACCACCCAAGAGCCTAAGCTGCAAAATCCCCTGCTTGAGAGGGGATTTGTGAGATCTGTGGGACTTCTGTGATGGTGCTTTGAGATCTTTGCAGAGAAATTGCTATAGAAATGCTGGACATTTCAGAATATATTAATACAACAAATATAATGAATGGATTAATATCCCCGTCCCTTATTGGGGTTCTCAGTCTGAGCATTTATGGACCGCAGTGATAAGAAGTATAAAATTATTTTTAGAGACAGCGATTGACTGAGAGCCTGAAGTTCGGATCCTAGTGACTCTTCAAAGCAAGCATCACCGTATTTCTCTATGGAACATATGACAGTAAGTTTCCTTTTCTAAGCAATAGGAGCCCTGTGCACTTATCCAAAGATATAAAAAGTCACCAAGGTAGATTTTTTTTAGAATATTTTTTTTTTAATAAAATCTAAATGAAGCTTTGTCGTACAAAATACTTGAACTATTTAAAATGAGCAAGTCAGACCAGGCTTTAGTAGGATGGTATCATCAAGGCATTCAGCACAGCATGATGCCAGGTGATTACATCCTTTTTGGAGCAGTTGCACTCATACGTACCCTTCCCTGGCGCTCTCCAAAGGTGGCTGATGGGGTGGACTGGTGAGGGCGGATTCCAGTGGATGGTGTCTTGAGGGTATCTCATTGTTAGGTGACAGGAGACTTGGCGCTGGTCCGTTATGGTTGGCGCTGGAACCAGTGTACATGCCTGGGAGGCAAACAAACGTCACATATGGCACACTACAACGAGCATCTGCAGGAGAATGAAGGTTTGTTTAACACCCCGTTAGGACACAGGCCTACCCCTGAAAACCACCTCCTTTTTGTTTTTTAAATAGGAAAAACAATGGTAGCTTATCAGATTCGACAGCATCTCTCCACACTGAAATGGTAACGGAGACCTACAAAAAGCCCTTGGCACTGGTTTGTAGAGTACCTTTGTACTCCTTTGCAATCAGAAGCTAATCATATGTTAATCCTGCAACCCTGGTTTCGGTTTGATGAGTGTGATTTTCCTCCCAGTAGCACCAGTGTAAATTTCCCCTAGCCGCACTGAAGCCAATAGGGTAAAGCTCATGACTTGCATCTGCATTACTCTACTGTCCTGAGACAACACATAAAACAACTATGGTAACATTGGCCTCTGCGTTTCATTGGGGCCAGGGGTTAAGGGAGAAGATGCGTCTCTCTGGCTTGCACCGACTCTGCACCTCCGCGCCATGCAGATCCTGAACCATGCGATGCTCCACAGGGTACAGGGATATCGCAGTGATGTGGAGACACGCACGCTCCCCCTTCTGCACAGAGGAGGGCAGATCTGGATGCAGAAGACCCCACTGTAACCAGAGCTGGGGTGGTGTGAGGTGGCCCAATGCCACTTCCAAACCCAGGAGCCTTGGTCTTGCAAACTCTTGGTCTCGCAAACTCTTGCCTCACACCACATACTCCAGTGAACAGTTTTTGTGAGTATAATGACACTTCCTGACTGAGCAAGCACTACTTGCACGGGACTGGATGTACAAGATCGCCTAGCAGCAGCTAAACCACATAATCCCTTAACGACTCAATCACTCCACACTCTATGGATCCCAGAACCCCAAAAGTGTTGTTTGCTGCACAGCAAATGATGTTGCTTTTGTACTTCATTTAAAAAAAAATCAGTTTAATTTGGAAATGAATCAACCAGCATTGTATTGACATTGAGTTAGACAGATTGAACCAATTTAAAAATACATGGTACCATCTCGGATCTCAGTAAATTTAATTAAAAGTGGAATAAGGATAGCTGTTAGGAGTCTCTCCCTCAGAAGCTAGAAAATTGTACAGCAGGGCTGTCAACTGCAAGATGAAGCATATCCAGAAGAGAAGAAACTGGCTAAATATTTGCATATTGCCAAAGAGACAACGTGATGTTTTCTTTAAAGCTATAAAGGGTTTACGTGGCACACTAGGCGGTCCCCAAATGGGCCACTGAATGGATTACAGCAACCTGTACGGGAGTTCAGACAGGTCCCAATTCTGCGGACGCTTTGGGATCATAGAAAAATAGAGCTGGAAAGTACTCCAGAGGTCATCCAGTCCAGACCTCTGGGCAAGTGTGAGTAACTTAAAACACGTGGGAGCCTCAAGCTATGTTCCCTCCAGCGACTTCTCTGGTCTTTGGATCAGGCCCATGAAAAGCTCCACTGAGCTGAGTGGGCTCAAGCGCACGTGTTTCTAAGAAAAAAACATAGTCATCAAAATCAGTTGACTACCATGGTGCACATTATTATTATGAGAAAGAGACTTTACTGTGAAGTCACGGCAGCATATTTCCACCAAGCATCAACTCACGGCTTAAACAGAACGCAACGCTTTCATCCAGCAACAAGTGACAAGACTACTTGTCTGTCCATCCCTGTATCAGAAGTGTGTGCATTTGAGGGAGCACTTTGTTGGCTAATTTTGTCTTTGGCACTAGACCATGGCTGGCTACCCAAGTTATGTCATCAACATTCAAATGATCTAGCTAAGGGAAAGAAAATGCTTCGTTTCACACATGTCCCACAGCCTGTATTTAATCACAGACATCATTTGATTACACATCTATTTTTAAAAATGCCATTTATACCCATTTCTGTGCTGGCACCTAGCTCCACACTCTAAAGGCATATTTATTTGGCATTATTCTGATCAGTTGGTTCATTTTATTGAAGGCTAAAAGATATTGGCTGGCCCTAAAACACTTTGCAAATATACTCAGGTGTGTAAAGCGAGCCTTTGCAGAACTGGTGCCTTTCTGACATTTTTGGTAATGATTTTGGAAGGGATCCAATCCAAGTTTTGACACTGTTAATATGAAGAGCAAGACAGTGATCTGTCAGATTTGTTTCTGCTTAATTAGACGTATGCATGTGAGTTTTAGTTTTTCCCTGATATTGGATCACTACTGGCTGGTTTAACCAGACTTAAAGAGTCTCTCCCTGCAACACCATTTAAATAAAATGTTGAGTAGTTTATACCCATGTATGCATGCTTGAGGTTGCTAATAAGACTAAGTAGAGGCAACATGATTTAAGTCTCTTTTGTATAATCAACAAAACACCATAAAGTATACAGATACTCCACTACCATTGCAGACGTTGGAGGGCAGGCCCATGGGTAGTTGCAAAGTCCTGTTGTTCAGGCTGTGAAATAAGGAAAACCAAGTTGGATGTCATTGCATTTGTGGGGTTGCCACCCAAAGCTCTCCCTGTGGCATTACATATGAGTAGCATGGGAAGTTAGAGCCATGCGGACTCTGCAAGGGAACCTTCTGGGTAGATGATCAGAAGCTCAACGGCAGCATCTGTTCCTCTAAGATAAAAGAGTGGAAACAACTACAGCAAGATTCAATTCACCTTTTCCAGGGACTGCAGATCAGTCCAAAACCTCTCATGAACAATACAGTGAATAGCTGCTGACAGATCTAAAAGAAGTGTGGATGCATAATGCCTGTCTGCTGCCAGAGGGCAATGACCAACCAGCCTGCTTTGTCTTGGTAGCTAAGGCCGGACTAAAAGGAGCTCCACAAGTCAAATGGCTCCAGATGTGAGAACGGGTTTGTCAGCACTGTTCCAGACACCTTTTCCAATAAAGGAAGATTAATGGCAAGAGAACAGGTAAGGAGACTGTCACGATCCTCCTGTGGGTCTCACTGCGCTGTATAATATACCCGTTTTCAATTATGCAGTTGGTGGTCTCTGAAGATAAGCCAGGGCCTTGAGCTAGTAGCCGATCACAACTAGCTCCTATGGCTCAGCATTAGGGTACATCTGCAGGATTACAAGGGGCAAAATGCTGGCAGGGCTGTGAATAACCAGCACAGTTCTCTTTCCACGCCTTTCAAACGGGCACCTTCCTGTCAATAATCCACTCAAAGAAAGATAGCTCTATCTGACCAGGGGCGTTCTACTTCCCAAGCCCAAGCCTGGCTCAGGAAGGCTTTCTGGTTCCCATATGTGCTGTCCCTTAACCCATGGGTACACCACACCGGCCGTGTCATTCAGAAGGGTGTTCCTGACTACTCTCTCCTGGCAGTATCTCCACCTTGGCAGCTACACACCTGGAAACCACACCTCAAGCTTCTGCAGGGATGTTCCCCTATGATTGCTCTCCAGGCCTTGGTCTCTGCTGTCCTGGAGAGAACTCTGTAGCCGTCTTACTGGCACATTTCTGGGTTTAAAGTGTGTGAGCAGGAGCAGTTCTGGGTGGGACGGGCCCAGGAACCTACCTGCTGGGACCTACTGCCATTGTGGTATCATCATAGCCATGCAGTCTGAACTATTTCAGTTCTTCGGTGAGTGCAGACCAAGGAAAGGTCATTCTCTTAGCAAGGGGTTGCATGCAAGAACAGTGCCTGATCCTGAGGTGTCCACCACACCCTTTCAAATATTGAATCAGAGTCAGAGGGAGAAAGGGACATTCAGGCCGTCCCAGAACTGGGACCAACATCTATGTGAATGAGATGACAAACTCCTAAGTGATCCCATCCAGGAGTAAGAAGATGCAAGCTGTACATACCTATTGCTCCTCTGGTTGGAAAACTGACCCAAATAGGGCTCTTTCTTCCCCTAACACTACACACAGGAGGAGAAACATGGTGAGAGGGGCGATCAACGTTCGCTCTGTCCCATCCAACGTGCAAGGTCTTGGTGCAGCGCACTTGCACCTCCGGTGTTCCCCTTACTGGGGATGTAAAGGAAGGCTCTTCATGAGCCATGGGGAAACAAATGTGCGCGTGCCTAGAGACGGTGGGGCCTTCCTGGAGCAGTGAAACATCTGTGCGTGACGTGAAGCAAACAAGAATGGTTTGCTTGATTTCCTCAAATATGCCAAGCTCGTCTATAATGGGAGCGGGAAACGGAGCCAAACTAGAATGACAGCTGACACCACCGTGCACTTTGCTAACATGGAGTTTCTGCCTATAATTAAAAGTACATTTAGAGCCATGTGGCTCACACAATGGGATCAGAAAGTAGTCATTTCTGCTGAGTCACTGTGAACCACGCTTCTCTTTGTTTAAAGCTAAAGCTTTTATTTATTTTACTAGTGCAAAACAAGGCCACTACGAACGTTATTTCCTTCACAGAGGTAGGCCTTGCTACGAACAATCAGCGCTGCTCAAAAGGCCTCGTTTTAACTGTTAAATGCTTTGACCTCCACATTTTCCTTTCAGCTCCAAGCCCCAGGAAGTTTGGATGTGCTCGGTTTTTGGATTCCTTTACCCTGCTGCTGTTAATGGGACTTCTGCCTGAGCAAGGACTGCAAGAGCAAGCCCTTTACTCCCCGGGCAAGTCCTGTCATTTTTTGGTGGCAAATTGTCAGGGAAGAATAAAAACATATAATATGACACAGTGAAGCCACAGCTGCCTGCTTGTCTTCACTATGGCTAGGGACAGGCATTCAAAAACCCTGAGCCTGAACTGATTCAATCTTTGCAGGTTAGTCTAACCTGGCTAGGCTAAATCAGTTTTGTAACCAGACAGACATCCCAGAAATGCAGGCACATGCCTGCAGTGGCTCAGGCTAGAAGCCGGGGGGTGCTAAAGCCGCCCTCCCTTCCCTTGTACAGGGCTGAGCTGAGGGGGCTGTGGCTAGGCCCTGGCAAGACACTATGATTAGAGAGGGGTCCCTCCCTCCTCTTGATAACAGAGCATTTGTCAGCTCTGTTATCAGCATTTAACACCC